GTAGGCATGGACCAAATTATGTGCAAAAACTGTAACAAAAGCAGCTGAATGCAGGTTAATAAAATTCTCCTCACTCGCGATCACCCAGAGCAATTCCCCTCTTTTTTTTTGTACCCAGTTTTCAATGGAATCAAATCATTATGAGATGAAACCGTGCTTCGAAAGCTTAACATTTTCTTAACATATTAGCTAGTGTGGATATATAGCATGCTATTTCACTGTTTTTATGATTCTAAAAACTTGTTTCAAAATATTTCCAAAATGCTATCACAGAATTTGTTCAAAGTTTCCCATAATTGAAGCAATTATGGCAGGTACATACTCCCTTAAGCCATTTCTAAAAAAACACTCCTGGTACAGAGAAACACAAAAATAAATTTAAAAAAAATATTGGTTTCATTAGGTTGCCATGGCGACTCCATTTGCAATAAAACCTAGATAATAAGAAATTTTCATGTTTATATAATACAGTAATGTTGTGGTAGCCTTTTCCCATATCTTTAGTCATGCTGATGTAGTTAATGCTTAAACTTGGAAGGTGTCCCCCCTAAAAAATCCAGTCAAGCCACCTTATTTAATTTTGTTTTCTCTGTCATACCTTTTTCTTGCAATCTTTCATAGGTAAAGAGAGATGAGGAAGTGAAGAAACCTATCAGGTCTGGTTCCCCCAATGACATTAGGAACAAGGAGGATATCTCAAAAAACGATCAGAAATCTCCCCTGTACCTACTAAAGCTGTTATCCCGCCTCTCAATTCTGACAATAAAGATAACAAGTCAGGTCTTATTTGCAGAAGGCGGCTATTCCTGAAGAAGGCACAGATGGTGACAGGTGAAAGAAGGGCGAAGAGACGGGCCTTGCTGGAAGCTTTGGAAAGGCCAGGCATCAGTTAGCTCCAGGTGCGGGAGTTCCTAGAGCTGGCTGATGAAAACCGACAAGTGAGAGCAGCCCCTTCAAAGCAGTCTGATAAACCTTTTTTCATTCCTGAGTCCCCTTTGTAATAGTTATCCTTTTAGTTCAGCTCGTCATTGTTTTGTTGTTTTTGTTTTGTTTTTTATCCCATTCCTCTCCTGAGAATTTTGCTGAGAAACTTGTTTTGAAGCTAGTGGCTTCGTTTTCTAGTCACTGTCTGGCTTATGAGCTAAATCTTACCAGAAGACTGTTTAAAGGCCGTGTAGTTCACAGCGTTCAGTTACAGATGCAAATTGAAAATATTATTTTCAAAAGTTGGGGCATGGAAAGCAAGAGGATACGACTGGATTCTGGTCGACAGTATTGGACAACCCTCTACATTCGCGGAAAAGGTCGCCTAGTTTTCGGCCTGTTTCGCCTATGTATAACTTTTTAACGGATTGATCAAATAACTCGCGTTGTTGATGCATGGTGGTCTGTCAGTGAAGCCATGATGTTGTTGGCGATGAAAACTGTTATAGTGGTTTCAATCCGTTTTTTGTCCAAGTAACGGTCGTATTCCCGTCATTCTATTGCTGTCAGCTTTGCTTGAGTAAGTGACTGCTTGCCGGTGTCTTTTGTAAGTAATCTCGTACCCAAATCTCTTGTCGGCTTCGTTGACAAGAGATCTGGGTACGGGATCAGTTAACTGCTGACCTACGATTTAAAAGCAATTACAAACGACTTCGCCCCATAAAAGGGAATCCACGACAGTCTTGGATTCTAGACTCCACGTCGTGGATTCCGGATTCCAGGTACTGGATTTCGGTCTTTGTCAGTGGAACTTGTCAACAACAGGACTAGACTCACTCGGACGATCATATCCCACTTACTTATAACATGATTCCTGGGTTCAAACCGTTCACTGTGTTTTTTTTTTCCTGTGTGTTTTTGTAACTTGACATACCAATATATCGGAAGTAAATTTTCTGGACCAATATGAGACTCCTCAATGCATCTAACTCTTTATAACATCTCTGATAACAACTATGAATAATTAAAACATACATTAAAAATGTGACAACATCTCAGGCATCAAAAATTCTTTGATCTGTATAACACCCTAAAAATCTTCCAAAAAGTTCATGAATTAAATAGATAACTACAAAGATTAAAAATTACCATTGCTGGAGGCCTTCTAGGTGATTGTGTAACTTAACTGGAAACCACATTCCAGAGTTTACCAGGAAAAAAATGAACAGGAATATCTCCAGGTGAACTCTCAGTATTAACAAACAACCAATAGCTATCATAACCTAGCGTTCACCTTCATGCTGGCCGGAATATGAAATAAGAGCTAACCCATGGATAACTTTGTCAGTCAAAATGAAATATATAGAGGATATTACACGGTGGCGCGAAGATATGAATTTTATTTTCGAGTGGCAAAACAAATATTGTTTTTGCCACGAGAAAATAAAATTCATATCTTCAAGCCGCCGTGTAATGTTCTTTTTATTATATAGACAAAAAGACATCGATAAAATAATGGACTTTTATTCGCCAAAACGTAATTGTGATGGCTCGAATTTACAGTACAGCAATATAAGACATTGTTTACAATGATCTTGAGAAATAACACGGAGGTGAATAAAGCTCTACAATGACAAAATATAAGCAAAGCTTTGAAAAATGTGTAATTAAAATTCAAAGGACGCAAGACGCCTACAAATTTTGCAGGGAAATTATCGAAATTACGTCATCGGTAAACTCACGTGTGAGATTATGGAAAATAAACCACTCTGGTCCCGGATGTAGTTTTTATGAATTTTACGAGTGGTATATTTTCCAGTAAAACACTCGTGTCTATATAATAAATCTGAATAAATACGGCATTCAACAGACAGCTGTGGAGACTTAAAGCCAATGGTGTTTCACAAAAGATATTAGATTTTTTGGAATGCAGCTTTTTGAACCCTTGCCAAATAAATTAACTCTGTTTAGATAAATACTCCTTAACACTCCTAAGTTATGTCGTTAAATAATCATTGATAAAAAACTAATTGAGAAGTTTACTTGTTTGGCGCTCATTATCAGGAATTATGAGCCATCATTAGAGAGATCTAGAATCACGTTGATCTAGAATCACGTCAGATTCAAGTTACAAATTTTCTCAAAATAGGAAATGAGCAGACAATATTGATCTGTCCAAAATATTTCTTATGGATGAAACTTGCACGAAACAACTGATTTTTGGGTAGATATAATGAACACTGAATGAAAGGCGATGGAAAAACTTGGTCACCTGGTACGACTTGACGTGTGACGTTTACCGTAAATTTGGTTCTAAATCTCTCTATCACTCTGAAAACCACTTTGACACTCAAAAACAAATGAGAACACTTCAGGTCATACATTGGTTTCAACTGCTAAAAACGTAGCAAGTTCAACGTTCTTAAGGTTCTGAAATGGGTTAAAAAAAGAACAAACCAAGCTAAAAAGGTCCTTCACCTTTGACGAACTAGTTAGTGCAGAAGGTATAAAATTGAAAGCTATATTAATAGACCTTATTCATGATACCCGCTATCTTTGGTGCTCGCGCTCAAGGACTGATGGGATAAAAGCGATGTCACGTGGTTTCCCACGGGGAAACAAGTAAATCTGTCAATGCAAGAAATCTCGGTCAAGTTTGTTTATTCTAGACAACAGAAAATGACTGAAGCACTTTTTATCTTCAAGGCAATAATGGTAAATTAGGGGTGGAATAAGGACCGTAGTTGTCCTCACAGCAAGCAATACTAGCATAAAACTTGTCGAAACTCGAACTGTACGTAAAGTTGTCTTGTTTTGTAGAATAAACAAACTCCACCGCGATTACTCCTATTGGTAAATTTATCACTAATTTGCCCCCTGAAATATCACGTGACATTGCATTTATCCCATCAATACTCAGAAAGTGCGTGCAAAGATGGCGCGTACAGTGAATAAGGCGGTCTATGAAACGAGGGTACCCAACGACATTTTTCTGTAAAATGACTGTTCGAAGAGGCAAATATTGGCTACAAATTTCCGCATAACCGTTCCATTCATCAAATATATTCGGAGTATTTCTACTAACTGACGATCTTTTTTTCTTACCAATGCAAGATACTGGGATTATTGTTATTAAACAGGGTTAGATACATTATGCTCTAGAATTTGAGCATTATACTTTTAAGCGTCACCCTCAAAACAACAGCATTATGCCTAAAATTATGCTCGAAAAGAAGCATTATCCTCAACTGATCTTGACTGTATCCCCACAGACATTAATACAACATTTTATTGCATCAGTTACAAATTTCGAACTGGGAACAATTATGGATAGACAATTGGACAGTCTTAGCAGCCTAACGAAATGATGCAACGATGCAACAAGACATTGAAAGTAGTAATCAAGCCTCTTTGAATATGCCAATCCTCACTAAAAGCACTTGGAAGTAAAAATTTCTCAGCACAGTAACTGTTACGGAAATGTATTTTTTTTTTTCACAATCATTCTCTTTACGCTGAAAAAACTGGCCATTATGCCGGCATTATACTCGATGCTCCGACTATAGCATAATGCCCAAACTTATGCTTGCATAATGTATCTAACCCTATTAAAAAAGGTCTCCTGAAAATCTCGGTACAAAGACAAAATGCTCACTTGAACTTTCTTTTGAAAGTATGCCTACTCCCTGACCTCGAACTTTCGACCGGACCAAACAGAGTGGCCATCAGTTCAGTCGAATGAGAAGAAAAAGCGACCTCAAACTTTCGAGACGGCCAAAGTTTCTTTAAGACATTCGAACAGAAAAAAAGATTTTAGGGCAGCTCCAAATAATTAAACAGGCTTCTAACGCATACAGAAAACCATTTGAGACACTTTTGACATATTTGGAAACATTCGGGAGTTGGGTATTCATTTGTAGCCATTCTTTGTGTTGTCACGCAGCGCTACTCCCCACTCATCTTCCCGTTGCGTGACGACACAAATAACGGATGTGAAGCAGACTAGTCGTTGGGTGCCCCTCATTAAAATCCTGTTGTATCACGCTCTACACAAGCCGTTTTCAGTCAGGGTCTCATTACGTAAGTGACGAACATTGTATATCAAATTCATTAGCAAGCTTCTCAACGGTTTCAACATTGCGCCATTCCACCTCGCGTCCTTTTTTAATCTCAGATCCGATTTGTTTATAATGGCGCTCTAAAACTCGCAAACAAGTGCTGGTATGCTTTCCAGTACACGGCGTTTCGTCCACAGTTTCAACGAACTGAAGATCGAAGTTTAAGAGAACAAAATTATCGCTCAGTGACATAGAACGACTGGAGCATATATCCAAGTCATTTCCTGCCGCGTTCTGTGACAAGCAGTAACTGACTAAAATGTTTGAAGACAAATACTCTGCATATGGCACGTGGAAAGTTGCTTGAGGCTCGGACAAAATAGTTTCTACATCTTCTGGTCCAATGGTATTATGACCATTTGCAAATCTTTTATTGTACTCTGAGAGACCATTGCAGATCTCGAAATTCCAGTTGTAGCGGTCTCTCTCGAAGTACCAGGCATAACCCATTATAATGCTGACTGGACTAAGATAGCCCTTGTAGAACTTTCTGAACGCCTCCTCAAAGTTGCTGGTGCTAAATCTTTTCAGTATATGTTCTCTGCAGCGAGTAAAGGTGTCCCTGTAGATGTAAACCGGAAAATACGTCATGAAATCAGTAACAAAGGGCAACCCAAGTGCAAGCTCTGTAGTTTCTGCCCAAGTAGGTACCCAGCTCCTATGTTGTGTACAACCTGAGCCTAAAATCCGTAACTTTGTGCCAGTAAAAATCATGGATTTAGTTACTGGGGTGATAAAAGCGGCGTCATTGTCCATCCACGCTATTATAGAGTCATTTGTAAACAAATCCATAAAGAAGCTACTCCAAAGTTGCCTGTTGTAACCGGGCGGTTTTGGCATACCTGGAAAGTCCAGGGTGCTTTTTTCCTTTGGAAGGGCCTCATACTGCACCTCAAGTTTATAGTCAGGAAAGTATTTCTTGGTTTGATCTAATATCTTATCTCCAAATACATGATCCTCCTCTGACTCTTCATCAAGTAAAACGAGAATCTTCCCATACGAGGAAGGCCAAAAGAGAACAGTAGTCCTGAATAGATCACAGTACATGATAACGTTTCCTGTTGCCAGCCATCCTCACAAACAGAGTTACTGAGGCATCTGTGGTTCCTTTAGTATTTGAGACTACTTCGGTTGTGGTGATCATCTTCGTTAACATAGTTGTTGGGAAGTCTGCTGTGCTCGCTTTAGTATTATATAAAAATCTGCCAGTACCTTCGCTACCATAGAAGTAAGGCGTTGAGTCGAGCAGTGATCGGAAAGTGACTTTAAACTGAAAAATATATGTTGCAAATAGTACCACGGTGAAAAGGAACAACAAAAAACAAAGGAGAAGGCGTATTTTGAATGTCCCGCGCCAAATCATTGTTTTTCCAGTGTAACAGCTTTCTTCAGATTGCTTGCTTCTGTAAATAAAAATAGAGAGACTTGCATTACTATTGTGAAAAGTAGTTTACATATGAAAGTGAATCGCTGAGATAAGGCGCAAGCGGAAGTGGACTTGCCGCTCGGGGTATTCAAAGAGTCTGTCGCAGGGTCAGCCTCTGCTTGGGTAACAAAAATATTTTTTACGTAACTTTTATGTCAAGAAGCAAAATAGAAGTGAGATGTTAGTGGACGGTATTGTCCACATGTGCTCACACAGAACGCATATCATTCATGGATGAGCTCACCAGTCAAAACTTGATCTTTCTGAGGTAGTAAAATATAAAACGGGTCGCTAAGTTGAAGCGGGGTGAAAGAAATGCTGGAAATGGAAACAGCGAGAACACGCGCTAGGTGGGGGGGTTGGGGGTGGTGGAAGCCTCGTTCTTGCGTCTCCTCTTGCGTGCCTCTTGCGCGCGACGATCGCGATATCCCCCAAAGGAAGAAGTTGCTCGCAGGCCAGCGCACCACATGTTATAAGTGGACATCTTGCTTTAAGCAGGAAAAAGCGCCAGTGAAATTAATACTGGACGGTGACACCGGCAGAGAGGGTCACATTCAATAACCGTTTCACTGAAATAGTAAAATTCTACGATGTTTTGAAAACCACAAGCTTTTATATAAACATAAAGAAACGGATATCAAAAGTATCCCAACAAGAAAGGGGCAAGCAGTCCTGACGGAACATCCAAAACCTCGTTTTCATTGGTTATTGAGACAAGGTACGATGGGGCCGGCAAAAGCCAAACAAATGGCGAACATCACGGAAAAGAATATACGAGGGATTGACAAGTTAAAATGATATGCAAAGTTACATTCCATCCATTTTGACCTAAGCGGGAAAAAAGGACTGGGCAATCAAACTCTCCCTGACAGATGTCAGTCAACTGCTAGCCTACGTGTAGCCGTACCTTTCCCCCGAAGAAGGAAAAACGGAGAGGGGAAGGGTGCGGCTACACGTAGGCTTATCGACTGCCTAAAACGATAAGAAGATTTTCAATCTCTGTGTTTAGGTACCAGACAGCTTCACTCAATCGTTGAATAGCCAATTCACCTTTTGAAACAAAATACTGAACCAATATTTTATTAGTCAATGATTTACAGCAGAGGGGTGCTTACCCCTGTCAATACATTAACCAGAAGTATATATATACTCAAGCGAAAAAAATTTTTTCCTGCTTCTTAAAATGATTCTCGAGTTGAAATATTTGTTCAGTTGAGATCAGCTAGCGAGGCCGCACTGCCAGACAGACTCGAAAACTGAAATTGATGTTGTGGTCGGCGCCAGTTTGCCGGCACGAGACTATTCGCAACGACGAAGTTAGTGCAACACAGCGTTGCAACATTGTTACGACATTGTTTCGAACGATTACAATATTGTTCCAACATTGCAGCGCTGTGTTGTGCTAAAAATCGTCGTTGCATAGCGTCGCGTGTAACATCACCATAAGATTACTCGGATGTGAAGCGTTTTCAGCGAACAGAATCTGGATATTCTAAGAAAAATGAAATTAGTTACGTGCACTCAGTTGTTTCATTTAACCTTTCCTGTGTTTCCAGTTACTGGCAAATGAAATCCCAGCAAACAAAACAAGGTAACGACCAAGATCAGACGTTTGACCGTGGTGGGCCTCGCGACACCAGTTTCAGTTCCTAAAACGCATTTTGCTTGAAGTAAGTTTGCGGGCCTTTGTTTGACCTGAATGAGACTTTGGGACTCGCGAGACGAAGTTAAAATGACTACTTGCCATTCAAATTGCTAAACTGACCTTAACATAGCAAGTGGTGTACTGCAAATGATATAAAGAAGACAAGTTGCGACGAAGAAATCGGATTACACTGACCTTTTCTTTGTGAAAAGAACGCTTCGATGAAGGAAACGTGGACATTTAAAATTTATTCGAAGGAGTGCAATGGTAACAAAATATACACCTGTTGAATGTGCTTTACACACATGTTGTCATGAAACTGGTTACCATTAGGTCACCAGTTGTTAAAAAGAAGTTAATCACCTGGGCCCAGTTGTTCGAAGGCCGATTAGCGCTTATTTTAACCCGGGGTTAAATTTTGCCCGGGTTTCTTTTTCTAGTGTTCAAAAGCATTTTCTCGGATAATTTTCTGTGCTATTTTTAGAGCTTCCAATCATCAACTTGTAGAGAAAAAGAATTAAAACTGAAGTGCTTTTTAAGCTTTCAAATCTGAATTCTAATCTCGCACTAACCATGGGTTATCTTAACCCAGCTTTGAACAACTTGGCCCTGAAGAATTATAAGGGGGGTAAATTTTTCCAGAAGTACGCAAAATTTTCCTAAACCCTCTGCCTCCCCTTCCCCCCGGCGATTTCTGCGACGGAGGAAGCTGCCTCGTGCCGATCTCGAAAGTGGAGAGTCTCATAAGGGATGGGTGTTCACTCTATACCGCACAGCTTTTCGGGCTGATACGAAAAGCTATATAAAGAAAAAATAGTCTTATGTATCCAGCTTGCCACTACTTGCATTTTCTCGCCTTTTCTCTAAATATACTGGTCCACCAACCGGAAACGGGCTTAGAGAAAGGCTATTGTGTTAGGGAAAAAATCAAAGAAAATAGCAGAGTTTAAACAAGCTGAGAAAAATTGTGCTTTTTAAATTTATTTGAATTCCTAAGATGTGCCAAGGAGTTGAACTCAGCCATAAATCTCTTTCATAATGACAGCCTAGTAATATATTCTTTTATGGTACGATAAGTAGCCTTTCTGACCTCGTTAGCATGTGCAAAATACAAAAGAATTCTTACTTTCAAACGAGATCAGAAAACCTAACCCTCCCGTCCCCGGTTTTCTTTTTTCACCCTAGCACCTACCCTAAGGGTTTCTATTTCTACTCTCCCAATCTTCCTCAGTCATAAAATCAATGATGGCGGCTACAACAATATCAAAGTGCACCGCTAATGCATGGCCCTGCCCCGGGGCCAGCTGGTCGATTTTCCTCCCAGACAAGTACAAACTGCACTATCTTGTACTTGCTTTGAAATGGAAGAAACACTAAGGAAAAAACGATAGACTTTTTGCAGGGAACACAATTTGTGGATTTCTGGTAATTTACAATGTGACCCTACAACTGGAGGACAGATACAAATATTGAAATAGGCTTAACAAACAGAAATCCCAACTGGACAATGGCAGACCATTGGAATAGATCTCTTTCATATTGGCTGCCTATTAATATATTCTTTTATAGTATGAAAATTAGCCTGCATTACAGGCCTATTTTGGGCAGGCAAAAGCTGTTTGTTTATGTTTGGCCTGGGCACAATCCTTAGGTAATAGACCATTTCCAAGTTCCAAAAGCTCTCACTTTCAAAGAGGCTTAAAGTGCAAAACCGTACCTTTCTTGTGAAAATGAGTTTTATTTGTATGACCCTAAAAATCATTTCCATATCAATGGCTTTGCAGTCAGTCTCACTTTGAAACAGAGGCTTGAGGCATCTGGGAAATGGGCTTAATTACATTGTATGAAACCTTACCAAAACTGACACCGGCCGGAGTAGTCCATCACCATCACAAAGTTCAGTTGCTGGCGGTCCATTTCCAACTACAAAAAGTTCTGAGGCTGGTCCATCACCAAGCTCAGCTGCTAGAAAAGAAGGGCACCTTAACTTAAGAGCGTGGCTCTTTTCATCCACAACTCTTTTTATCTTTTCTCAAGTCAAACCGTGGTAGACACTTACACATGCAAGCGAAAAGTCTCCTTAAGTTGACGCATTGAGGCGCACGCGAAATACGTAATAAGAACTGTTATTATTATCATTATAATCATTATTGTTATTAAAGTAGTCTTCTTAAGTTGTTAAACGCCGGAAAAACCTGCTGACTTATAAGTCCTTTCTGCTTCAGTCGTACTCTCCAGCGTAAAACCAGTCGTCATTTCCGGTCCTGTTCAAACAGATTCAGTTTTTGGTCACTATCGTGTCAATGCGTGGGTTTAAATGGACCTCAACTCGATCTAAACCATTTATTTCAACACTGAGCTATTGGGTATTTACCCAACCCTTTCTCTAATTTAGTAGTAGTTGGTTTACATTGGTCCATTAAATAAAGCCTGTTATTTCACGAAGACACTACTTGCCTCTAAGTTACTATAGCAATGTTATAACCCGTTATAAACACCATGATCGTACTTGTACTTTTTCTCAAAATTTAAGCCCGAGATGTCTGTCAAGAGGCCAGAGCCACTTTAAATATGAGAAAAAGAACAGTTGCTAAACGCACTCCAGTACTGCAAACAGTCGCTACAGTGTTTTCTGACAGTTTTTGTTGTAAACTACTTAAATGAGAACCAGCCCGTTACTTAATTTACTTCCATTTTCCCTCCGGATTAATAAACACTAGACGTTAGAAATACCGTCGAAACTCTCTAAAGCGACCACATAAAATGCGAAGAGGTAGTGGTGGCTTACGGGAAAGAGTCGAACTGCAGCAGATCTTTTACGAGGAGGAGTCCGGACACACCCGACCTTCCGTAGAGAGCGGTTCTGCATGAAACTTTTAGGTTACAATATATGTAAATCCATGTTGTTTCTAAAAGATCTTCTCTTAAAGGTTAGCTAGTACATACAGGGAACAGAAAGATCAGACCATTGTATAAAGTGGTCACATAGAAGAGGTGAACTGAAAGCAATAGAAAATTCTAAAACAGTCATCCTAAAAAGTGGTAGCGGTCGCTCACGGGAGTTAGTCGTTCGAATTATAAGGCTTTGACAGGGAAAATTTTAGCGTTTTGGATAAGTTCGACTGTATATTAATTGTACTTGAAATAACGAATTTGAACTTTCTCCGGTACAATCCTTCCCTTACGATGTTAAGCGAAGCACCGAATTGTCTACAGAAAGCCACTTTCGCGCATAAAACCACTATCTTACCCCAAAAATCCGAAAACGTGCGACCCCATGGGGAAATGCCATTTCCTATTGTAACTCCAAAACTGTCCGATTTGACATGTCCGATTACTAGGAGCTTGAAATTAGACAGGTCAATCGGAAAGTTAAAGAACCGATGAAAATCAAGTAGCAAATGCCATTAGCCAATGAAAGTTAACTACATAGCACATGAGAACAAATCAAAATCAATGAAAAAATAGTGACCAGGTAAGCTGTCCAGCTTCAACTGGAAAAGAAAAATAGACGAAACTAACTGGTCCAGTTAGTTAATCAATTGTAGCCCTGAAAAAATTTGAAGGAAAAAAAACTACGAATTTTTAAGAAAATGCTTTTTTCGTGAGAGGGACTCTTAAACATTGACAAAAATAGCTAAAACTATAATTTCTATATGTTTGCATTGCTCGAAATCGTGCGCATTTCAGACCCTAAAGCTTTTTGCTGACTTGCTAGGACCCAGGCCATCTGTAATAACGATTCCCAAAATAAAGGAGTAAATCTCATAGTTTACTAGATATAATCGTGTAAAGTTTGCTTATCATTTTCGCACAAATTATGATCTAAATTTGGAAACCGCTGAATTTCTCTCATTTTGTCTTTGCGATTTTGGTGAAACTCTGTTCAACACAAGGCACTATCAAGGCAGGCAGGCAGGCAGGTTATTCATGCTATATGTTAGACTTACGATCACAGTAAAGGTGGGGATACCAGAGAGCGTCAAAGTAGGATGGTACCCTCACAAAATAACTGTGTTGAGTCACCTTAAGTTTCCTTTTTCCCACCGAAACTGACGTTTTCTTACCAGTCCTTTCCCAGTCAACAGACATCGTCGTCGTGAACTTTGTCGTGATTTTCAAGTTCCCTACTGTCAACAACGGGACAAGACTCACTCAAAAGATCATATTCCACTTATTTATGACATGATTCCTGGGTTCAAACCGTTCACTGTTTTTTTTTTTCCGCTGTGTTTCTTATAACTTGACATACTAATATATCGGAAGTAAATTTTCTGGACCATGTATCTAACTCTTTATAACAACTAAATTAACGCATATATTGAAAACGTGACAACATCTCAGGCATCAAAAATTCTATGATCTGTATAACACCCTAAAAGTCTTTTAAAGAGTTCATGAATTAAATAGATAACTACGAAGATTAAAAATTAGCATTGCTGGAGGCCTTCTAGGTGATTGTGTAACTTCACTGGAAAGCACATTCCTGAGTTTACCAGGAAAAAAATGAACAGGAATATCTCCAAGTGAACTCTCAGCGTTAACAAAAAACAAATAGCTATCATAACCTAGCGTTCACCTTCATGCTGGCCGGAATATGAAATAAGATCTAACCCATGGATAACTTTGTCAGTCAAAATGAAATATATCGGAATAAATACGGCATTCAACAGACAGCTGTGGGGACTTTAAGCCAATGGTGTTTCACAAAAGATTTGATTTTTTTGGAATGCAGCATCTTGAACCCTTGCCCAATAAATTGACTCTGGTTAGATAAACACTCCTTAACACTCGTTAAATATATGTCGTTAAATAATCATTGATAAAAAAACTAATTGAGAAGTTTACTTGTTTGGTGCTTATTACCAGGAATTATGTGCCATCATTAGAGAGATCTAGCATCACGTTAATTTTAAGACAAACGGCAAACGTCAGATTCAAGTTACAAATTTTCTCACAATAGGAAATGAGCAGATAATACTGATCTGTCCAAAATATTTCTTATGGATGAAACTGGCACAAAACAACTGATTTTTGGGTAGATATCATGAACACTGAATGAAGGGCGACGGAAAAACTTGGTCACCTGGCACGACTTGACGTGTGGCGTTTACCGTGAATTTGGTTCTAAAAAACAAATGAGAACACTACAGGTCATACATTGCTTTCAACTGCTAAAAACGTAGCAAGTTTAACGTTCTTGAGGTTCTGAAATGGGTCAAAAAAAGAACAAGCCAAGCTAAAAAGGTCCTTCACCTTTGATGAACTAGTTAGTGCAGAAGGTATAAAATTGAAAGCTATAGTAATAGACCTTATTCATGACACCCGCTATCTTTGGTGCTCGCGCTCAAGGACTGATGGGATAAAAGCGATGTCACGTGGTTTCCCACGGGGAAACAAGTAAATCTGTCAATGCAAGAAATCTCGGTCAAGTTTGTTTATTCTAGACAACAGAAAATGACTGAAGCACTTTTTATCTTCAAGGCAATAATGGTAAATTAGGGGTGGAATAAGGACCGTAGTTGTCCTCACAGCAAGCAATACTAGCATAAAACTTGTCGAAACTCGAACTGTACGTAAAGTTGTCTTGTTTTGTAGAATAAACAAACTCCACCGCGATTACTCGTATTGGTAAATTTATCACTAATTTGCCCCCTGAAATATCACGTGACATTGCATTTATCCCATCAATACTCAGAAAGTGCGTACAAAGATGGCGCGTACAGTGAATAAGGCGGTCTATGAAACGAGGGTACCCAACGACATTTTTCTGTAAAATGACTGTTCGAAGAGGCAAATATTGGCTACAAATTTCCGCATAACCGTTCCATTCATCAAATATATTCGGAGTATTTCTACTAACTGACGATCTTTTTTTCTTACCAATGCAAGATACTGCGATTATTGTTATTAAACAGGGTTAGATACATTATGCTCTAGAATTTGAGCATTATTCTTTTAAGCGTCACCCTCAAAACAACAGCATTATGCCTAAAATTATGCTCGAAAAGAAGCATTATCCTCAACTGATCTTGACTGTATCCCCACAGACATTAATACAACATTTTATTGCATCAGTTACAAATTTCGAACTGGGAACAATTATGGATAGACAATTGGACATGCAGTCTTAGCAGCCTAACGAAATGATGCAACGATGCAACAAGACATTGAAAGTAGTAATCAAGCCTCTTTGAATATGCCAATCCTCACTAAAAGCACTTGGAAGTAAAAATTTCTCAGCACAGTAACTGTTACGGAAATGTATTTTTTTTTCACAATCATTCTCTTTACGCTGAAAAAACTGGCCATTATGCCGGCATTATACTCGATACTCCGACTATAGCATAATGCCCAAAATTATGCTTGCATAATGTATCTAACCCTATCAAAAAAGGTCTCCTGAAAATCTCGGTACAAAGGCAAAATGCTCACTTGAACTTTCTTTTGAAAGTATGGCTACTCCCTGACCTCGAACTTTCGACCGGACGAAACAGAGTGGCCATCAGTTCAGTCGAATGAGAAGAAAAAGCGACCTCAAACTTTCGAGACGGCCGAAGTTTCTTTAAGACATTCGAACAGAAAAAAAGATTTTAGGGCAGCTCCAAATAATTAAACGGGCTTCTAACGCATAGAGAAAACCATTTGAGACACGTTTGACATATTTGGAAACATTCGGGAGTTGGGTAGTCTGCAGCTTCACAGCCATTCTTTGTGTCGTCACCCAGCGCTACTCCCTACTCATCCTCCCGTTGCTTGACGACCCAAATAACGGATGTGAAGCAAACTAGTCGTTGGGTGCCCCTCATTAAAATCCTGTTGTATCACGCTCTACACAAGCAGTTTTCAGTCAGGGTCTCATTACGTAAGTGACGAACATTGTATATCAAATTCATTAGCAAGCTTCTCAACGGTTTCAACATTGCGCCATTCCACCTCGCGTCCTTTTTGAATCTCAGATCCGATTTGTTTATAATGACGCTCTAAAACTCGCAAACAAGTGCTGGTATGCTTTCCAGTACACGGCGTTTCGTCCACAGTTTCAACGAACTGAAGATCGAAGTTTAAGAGAACAAAATTATCGCTCAGTGACATAGAACGACTGGAGCATATATCCAAGTCATTTCCTGCCGCTTTCTGTGACAAGCAGTAACTGACTAAAATGTTTGAAGACAAAAACTCTGCATATGGCACGTGGAAAGTTGCTTGAGGCTCGGACAAAATAGTTTCTACATCTTCTGGTCCAATGGTATTATGACCATTTGCAAATCTTTTATTGTACTCTGAGAGACCATTGCAGATCTCGAAATTCCAGTCGTAGCGATCTCTCTCGAAGTACCAGGCATAACCCATTATAATGCTGACTGGACTAATATAGCCCTTGTAGAACTCTCTGAACGCTTCCTCAAAGTTGCTGGTGTTAAATCTTTTCAGTATATGTTCTCTGCAGCGAGTAAAGGTGTCCCTGTAGATGTAAACCGGAAAATACGTCATGAAATCAGTAACAAAGGGCAACCCAAGCGCAAGCTCTGTAGTTTCTGCCCAAGTAGGTACCCAGCTCCTATGTTGTGTGCAACCTGAGCCTAAATTCCGTAACTTTGTGCCAGTAAAAATCATGGATTTTGTTACTGGGGTGATAAAGGCGGCGTCATTGTCCATCCACGCTATTATAGAGTCATTTGTAAACAAATCCATAAAGAAGCTACTCCAAAGTTGCCTGTTGTAACCGGGCGGTTGTGGCATACCTGGAAAGTCCAGGGTGCTTTTTTCCTTTGGAAGAGCCTCATACTGCACCTCAAGTTTATAGTCAGGAAAGTATTTCTTGGTTTGATCTAATATCTTATCTCCAAATACATGATCCTCCTCTGACTCTTCATCAAGTAAAACGAGAATCTTCCCATACGAGGAAGGCCAAAAGAGAACAGTAGTCCTGAATAGATCACAGTAATAACGTTCCCTGTGTTCAGGCAGTTTGCCAGCCATCCTCACAAACAGAGTTACTGAGGCATCTGTGGTTCCTTTAGTATTTGGGACTACTTCGGTTGTGGTGATTTTCTTCGTTAACATAGTTGTTGGGAAGTCCGTGCTCGCTTTGGTATTATATAAAAATCTGCCAGTACCTTCCCTACCATAGAAGTAAGACGTTGAGTCGAACAGTGATCGGAAAGTGACTTTAAACTGAAAAATATATCTTGCAAATAGTACCACAGTGAAGAGGAGCAACAAAAAACAAAGGAGAAGGCGTATTTTGAGTCCCCCACGCCAAATCATTGTTTTTCCAGTGTAACAGCTTTCTTCAGATTGCTTGCTTCTATAAATAGAAATAGAGAGACTTGCATTACTATTGTGAAAAGTAGTTTACATTTACATACATACATACACACACACACACACACACACATACACACACACATACATCACATACATACACACACACACACACACACACACACACACACACACACACACACACACACACACACACACACACACACACACACACACACACACACACACACACACACATACACACACACACACACACACACATACATAAATACATACATACAGGGGGGGGGAACCGTTGAGATAAGGGTGGGTGAAAGCCTCGTTCTCGCATCTCCTCCTGCATGACTCTTAAGCGCGACGATCACGATATCCCCCAAAGGAAGAGCTTGCTCGCGGGCTAGCGTACCATATGTTATAACTGGACACCTTGCATTAAGCAGAAAAAAGCGCCAGTGAAATTAATACTGGACGGTGACACCGGCAGAGAGGCTCCCATTCAATAAACGTTTCACTGAAATAGTAAAATTCTACGATGTTTTGAAAAACACAAGCTTTTATATAAACATAAAGAAACAGATATCAAAAGTATCCCAACAAGAACGAGGCAAGCAGTCCTAACGGAACATCCAAAAACTCGTTTTCATTGGTCATTGAGACATGGTACGATGGGGCCGGCAAAAGCTAAACAAATGGCGAACATCACGGAAATGAATATACGAGGGATTGACAAGTTAAAATGATGTGCAAAATTACATTCCATCCATTTTGACCGATGCGGGAAAAAAGGACTGGGCAATCAAACCCATCCTGAGAAATGCCAGTCAACTGCTAGCATACATGTAGCCGCACCCTCCCCCCAACGAAGGAAAAACCGAGAGGGGGAGGGTGCGGCTACACGTAGGCTAGTCGACTGCCTAAAACAATAAGAAGATTTTCAATCTCTGTGTTTAGGTACCAGACAGCTTTACTCAATCAGTGATTTTATAAGTCAATGATTTACAGCAGAGGGGTGCTTACCCCTGTCAATACACTAACCAGAAGTATATATATACTCAAGCAAAAAAATTTTTTCCTGCTTTCTCAAGTTGAAATATTTGTTCAGTTGAGATCGGCCAGCGAGGCCGTACTGCCACAGCGTTGCAACATTGTTGGGACATTGTTTCGAACGGTTACAATATGGTTCCAACATTGCAGCGCTGTGTTGTGCTAAATATCGTCGTTGCATATCGTCCCGTGTAACATTACTATAAGCTAAAGATTACTCGGATATGAAGCGATATTCTAAGAAAAATGAAATTAGTTACGTTCAATAATTGTTTCATTTAACCTTTCCTGTGTTTCCAGTTACTAGTAAATGAAATCCCAGCAAATAAAAGAAGGTAACGACCAAAATGTTTGACCGTGGTGGACCTCGTGACACCAGTTTCAGTTCCTAAAACGCATTTTGCTTGAAGTAAGTTTGCGGGCCTTTGTTTGACCTGAATGAGCCCTTGGGACTCGCGAGACGAGGTTAAAATGACTACTTGCCTTTGATATTGCTAAACTGACCTTAACGTGGCAAGCGGTGTACTGCAAATGATATAAGAAAGACAAGTTGTGACGAAGAAATCGGATCATACTGACCTTTTTTTTTTGTTCAAAACGCTTAACGCTTTGATGAAGGAAACGTGGACATTTAAAATTTATTCAAAGAAGCGCTATGGTAACAAATCATACACCTGTTGAATGTGCTTTACACACATGTTGTCAAGTAACTGGTTACCAGCAGGTCACATGTTGTTAAAAAGAGGTTAACCACCTGACGAATTATCAGGGAGGTAGCCAGGATTTTTCCAGAAGTACGCACAATATTCTTAATCCCTCTGCCTCCCCTCCCCCCGATTACAACGACGTTTTCATGCTTTAGCCTATGTTCACACTAGAGTGGATAGCTTTTGAGCCGCCACGGAACTTTTACCTGATAGGGGTTCTGTTCACACACAAGAACGCTTGTGGCGGCGCGATTTCTATCACGAAGGAAGCTGCGTCGTTCCGATCTCGAAAGTGGAGAGTCTCATAAGGGATGGGTGTTCACACGATACCGCTTTTCATGCTGATACGAAAAGCTATAAATAAAAAATAGTCTTATACATCCAGCTTGCCACTATTTGTATTTTCTCGCCTTTTCTCTAAATATATTGGTCCACCAACCGGAAACGGGCTTAGAGAAAGTCTATTGTTTTAGGGAAAACATCAAAGAAAAAAGCAGAGTTTAAACAAGCTGAGAAAAATTGTGCTTTTTAAATTTATTTGAACTCCTAAGATGTGCCAAGGAGTTGAACTCAGCTATAGACCTCTTTCATAATGGCGGCCTATCAACATATTCTTTTATACGTATGATAATCAGCCTTTCTGACCTCGTTAGCATGTGCAAAATACAAAAGAATTCTTACTGTCAAACGAGATCAGAAAACCTAACCCTCCCGTCCCCGCTTTTCTTCTTTCTCCCTAGCACCTACCCTAAGGGTTTCTATTTCTACTCTTCCAATCTTCCTCTGTCATAAAATCAAAGATGGCGGCTACAACAATATCAAAGTGTACCGCTAATGCATGGCCCTGCCCCGGGGCCAGCTGGTCGATTTTCCTTTCAGGCAAGTACTAAGCACTATCTTGTACTTGCTTTGAAATGGAAGAAAAACTAAGGAACAAATGATGGACCTTTTGCTGGGAACACAATTACTAGATATCTGGTAGTTTACAAATTATGTGACCCCACAACTGGAAGACAGAAACAAATATTGACAATGGAATATGGACATTCATTGGCATAGACCTCTTTCATATTGGTGGCCTATTAATATATTCTTTTTATAGTATGCAAATTAGCCTGCATTGCAGGCGAATTTTGGGCGGGCAAAAGCTGCTTGTTTATGTTGGGCCTGGGCACAATCCTTAGCCAATATGCCATCTCCAAGTTCCAAAAGTTCCCACTTTCAAAGAGGCTTAAAGAGCAAAACCTTTCTTGTGAAAATGAGTTTTATTTGCATGACACTTAAATCATTTCCATATCAATGGCTTTGCACTTAGCCTCACTTCGAAATCCAGGTTTGAGGCATCTCGGAAATGGGCTTAATTACATTGTATGAAATCTTACCAAAACCTTAAGTACAAACACTGACACTGGCCAGACTGTCCTTTTTGAAGATGAAACAGGATCTATAAGAGCCAGAGTTTTCACTTAACCCTGTAAGTCTCAAGAGTGACCAAAGTCAATATTCTCCTAACAATGTCAATACAAAATCTACAGTAAATGTTGTGAGAATTAATGAAACGATCACCTGATGGAAAAACCTTCGATCAGCAAACAAATTCACTCAACTAATTCTTTGAATATTGGGCTTAAAAGGTTAAAACCCATAATGCCATGCATACTATCTAGGGAACAGATTGACTGGGTTGGACAGCAGTGATTTTGTTACAAACAGTTATGGTAAGTCCTGGGACTCATCTTGTGAAAAACCGTGTGTCTCAGTCCATAACCAATGAGTCTCAGTTCAAAAAACAAAGAATCCTAAATTGAGGCTTTTCGTAACCAGACAGTTAATCTGGCTCAAAAACTCAGTATTACAGTTTACTGAAATAAAAATATACTCCTTCTATAGTAAAGCACAAAGCACAAAGACTAAATAAAGTCGAACCCCGCTATTTCAAACTCGGTTAATTCAAAGTCCCCGCTATTTCGAAGGAAGATCGAATGCCCTTGGATTTTACCCTTCCCCTTTACGCTTCCCTGGATATTTCGAAACCCCGCTATTTCAAACTTTTCTTCCATTTCCCTTGGGACTTCAAAATAGCGGGATTCGACTGTAATATTTCATTGTTAAAAAGTAGCCACAGGAACAGCCAGAGAAATCACATGAACAGGATATTCTACAAAAAACATCTTCAGATCGATTGATCAATCTGGATGCATGCCATGAATTATTTTGCATCTCTGGGGATTTTTTATGCATCAGGGACGCAGGACATGGAGGTAACAGAATCACTGTTACACTACTCATAAGTAGCAGAATTCTCTTTGTGAATGAACTGCCCTGGTCAGTCAGTGCCCTATTTTAATATGTGCTTGCTTTTTATTTGCTTATTTATTGACATGTGTATTTAGTTCAGTATTTGTTAATACCTTACATTTTCTTTAGACTGTTTTCCTTCTCATACAGCTATTTTGAGAAAGGTTGTCAGAAAAAAATGTGCACATGACAATCCCAAAGGTAATACGGGATATCATCAATACCCTTTTCCTGACACTGTAGCTGTCGAACTTACTTTTGTTCGTAGTTACTAAAACATGGAACGACCTAAAACCACCTAAAACCACCTAAAACCATCTACAACCACTTAAAACCACCTACAACCACCTCAAAAAATTCAACAACCACCTACAACCATCTACAACCACCTCAAAAACATCTACAACCACTCGCAAACAATCTAAAACCATCTAAAACAGGGTATAAATGTCTGAAATAGTTTCACACAAATGTATGTAGTCCCGCAGAATCCTTTAGTCTAGTGTGAACGTGTCTCACTTGTAGAGCCTGATTTTATACAGCTATTAACCCGTTTACAGTTGCAAGAGTTAGAAAACATTATATAATGATATTTGATAATTCTTTTCAGCAAAATGAATCAAAACGTTCTTACCAGTAACATCC